AAAGTAAGCGGAAACAGGTACTGGTGATTGCACAAGTGACCGTGCGTCCGCGGAGACGTTATTTACAGACAGCTTGTACGAGGCGGCACTCACTCGAATTCGATTTTCAACAATTGCAGAAGACCTAGCAGGGGTGAATCGGTCTCCTTTGTGGACAAGGCGGTCAGCAAATTAGCAATGATATCGCGGAATAGTTCGATCTGCGTGTGTGGGCTGGAACGAAGACGAGAATGACGTGAGACACGAAACCCGCGTTTCAGACAAACACAAATAGGGTTGAATGAGAAGTTTCATGTAGTGATTTAACCGGTTTGGTTTTAAAGATATACTTTCTGTTACAAGCTATTTCCGGGGCAGCTCATGATATCAATATGCGTTGGCCCAATTGCACGATGAACGACAGTGACATAACGTCAGTATTTTGACTATTTACACTTGAATCGCATTTATTCTGTACCACATAAACACACCTAAGGAGAACAATCAGACAACCGTTCTGCGATGTCGACCCAGGGAATGAAAATATCACATCGGATCGTAAGTCAGATAGCATTTGGGAACACCTGAAAGATGAGCCCGTAGACTAGAGACAATTGATTAAGAACCAACCGGATTCGGCAACCAGGTATTATCACCCTCACAAACGAACCATGAAGTTATACATTCACACACCCCAGAGATTAACGCTTCCGCGAAATTGGACCTTTTGAAAAACTACACATGTTATTTCTGATTAGCCCCCCCCCACACACACATTTTTCAACTACCTACTGTTTCCTATGGTCTTACTGACGTAACTACGTGTTGCATCTCGACGTTATTCTTCTCGCACACGTAGGATACCGTTTCATTCTTCCAACCTCAGTCTGTGTTCAAACTGCCTTCTTTCAACTAGGAAACTCTAATAGGCATAAAAGAAGTTTGGCCTGTCCACTCGAAAGTGTAGAGATTGATGCTCTCAGAAACACGCGTTTAGGATCCGAGTTCAGCAATTCGATTAGGTGTATCTCCAACCTAAAAGAAGCGTTTCGTCTAGGCAATCGTATCGGCCTCTGGTCAAATCAGCAAGCAGAAATTAAACGAACGGTGTCTATTCGTGGTTCCTGTATACGCCTCGATAGACTGTAGCCCGGATACAGTCAAATATAGCTTCTACCACAGTCTACATGAGCTTCTTCTCAAAGGACCCCAGACGGATATGAAGATTCTGATTTGAGACCTAAACGCACGCGTTGGCCGTCTGCTGTTCGATGAGGCTCATCTTGGTGATCAGAACGGTTTTGATAGCAGACGTTTAGATAATTGGGATAAACGTCTTAGCATATGCTCAGAAAACAGGGTTCCTCGTTAGCATGAACTTCACATCTAAAGCGTCCCCTCATCGCTTACCGTAACCTCTTCTCCGCACAGATGTGGATTCAGATTGATCACATAGCAATCAGCTATGGATGAAGAGGTCATGTCAAGGACTGTGGTTCGTACTGATCTACCTGCTGGACTTAAATCACGCATCGGTTTGTGCCAAGTTGTCCATGCGATTTGGTGACCGTAAAAAAGAGAGACGTTGCCAAGCTTTCTAAACCGGCCGTGCTGGTTGACTAATAAAACGAACTGGTTGCAAGGCTACCTACTAAGCCATCAAGAAGTGAAGTTCAACACTGGAAAAAACTCGAAACACAACGTAATCAGCCAGTTTACACAGTCGTGGGTTGTGAAACACTGGGCTTCCTCCTTCTCTCAGACTTCTTGATGCGCGTCGAGGAATCCCGACAGGCTGCGAGTATAATGAACAGCACCTCCCTCTGAAGCGCGAACTCAAAAAGAGCTTTAAAGACGACCAAAAAGCCTGGTGGACACTACGTGCAAAAGATAGAATCGGGAGCTAGTTGCGGAAACACAGGGCAACCGTTTCACATCATCCGTGCCAATGGCGCCAAAAGAAAGCGTGCTAGTGAACCAATCTGCGGAATAAACGGTATGCTAATAGCCAGCCTTCAACGGTTGGAAGTAGAGTAAATAGGTGGCAAGAAAATGAGACGATGAACGAGAACCACTGTTTAGGNNTACATATATGGATCCGTAGCTATAAAGATTGGTGTTTATATATATATATATATATATATATATATATATATATATAAACACCAATCTTTATAGCTACGGATCCATATATGTATGTATACTATTTGGGCTAACATGGAGCATTAAGATAAACAAGGAATATACAGGGACCGAATTCAGAACATGCACTGTATTGAAAAATGTACCGGTCTATCTCCGGATCGAGGTGCGTGGGCTGCCACGATGAGAAACACTTACCCTCATGCAGGACGTAGTTGCTTAAATGTAAAAA